AGAGTAAAGTTATCCTTGGTAACAAGGTCACAGAATGTAAGAACATGTTTACTTTTCAATTCTTTTCAGATTTGTGTTTTATGTGGAAGGATATGGTTTATCAAATTTCCTGGTTTATATTTGCTTTTAATTTGAACTCAGATTGTCTCTATATGGGAATAAATTATGAAATATCGCCCTGAAAGATACATTTTATGATAATTTTCCATTAGAGGGAAAATTAATCTGAATGCCAAAAAAAAACCATGAATCTTTGTCATCATGAGGAAGGATGCTGGTCTTGTCATTGGAGGAATGTGGGAAAATACAACCAATGAGCTATTACCAATCAATACAGACGTATGCTGGAAGTCGTCTTTCACTGGTTTACCTCTGGCAAAATGTGATATGAATGTTAAACGTGATACTTTTTTTACTTTTCACCTAGACACAGATGCGCCAAAACCTTCTGTTTGTGAAGTCAACTATAATGAAATTTCAAGTCTATGAATTTTTGCACGTTCTTCTGAGATAGAAGCTGTGTTAGAGCTAGTTTGTATGACTGACATGTATACAAAGAAAATCCAATATATACAAATGAAAAAAAAACAAAAAACTTTGACGACATATAAGGAACTCCATTTGTAAAGCGAATGTCATAAGAAAATTAGAATTTAGCAATAGACCATCACGGCAGACATCTCCACCACGACCTGTATACTCAATATACAATTTCCCAGTATGACACGTAATGACTGTTTCACATTGTAATTTGTTTTGAATCTGTGACCAGAATAATCAAATGCTTCATTAAACATTGACTGCCCCACAGCTATACGAGTCTGAGGGAATTTCTTCAAAATACCAATTACATGTTCTTCAAAGCCTGGCGACAAAGATCCTCATCGGAGGACAAAGCAACAACGCACGATGTGTATGGTAGCAATATTTCTTTACAGGCAAGAATCTTCGATATCTACACAGCTCACAGCTGGTCAGAACAGATTCTTATAAATAATACAACATTTTAAAAAACTGGCTATTTGATATTGTTTCTTTTTACCTCAGAAAACAAAACTTCAACACTGATCTAAAAATATATTATATTCCTAAAGTTTGTGCTAAATATCTAATATTTAATAAGAAATAAACAAATACAAAAAAAAGGAAAATTTCTCTTTGTTTATGTTCATTTTATATACATGATCATGTGTTTGTGTAAATCTACCTCAATATCTTTACATTGTGTATATCCTATTTGGCATCTAATGTTGTAACGGCTCTTCTTTCCTAATTAGTAGTTAGACTAACAATGAAGTAAAAATTAACATGTTCAACAATTTATTGCCTAGCTTGATTCTTCAATGAATTAATTAGAGCAAAGTTATTCACATTTGTCAAATACATATAATATTTCAGAATATCACCATACCACAAGCTAGACATACTCATCTGCATTTTTAATTGATTCTTTTTAGTACACTCATTAAGGGGGAGGGGGGAGCTTTTTAGTTCCCGGGGTTTGACATGTATGCCATATTGTAATTCATTTAAATAGTGGCACTGTTCAGGACATACACGTGTCTACTTGACATTCGCCTGATATTATCATATATATGAAAACAATAAAATTTATTGAATTACAGCTGGAATAGTATATGTCTCCTTCTGGATTTAGATATTTCTTTCTTTTGCTGTTTTTCTTTAGACGCCTCCTAGATTTCAAAGTTTCAAAATTAAAATCTAATGAGTATCACTGATATACATGTCATAACGGAAAAAGTCAGCCATAGGAAACAGTTTTATTTATAAATTGGTACTATTGTATCTAATTCTACATTTGTTTTCAATTTTGTACAACCTTTGATGTCCATGTACAAAACACTATCTGAAATACACTCAAGAACTTTTGATATGCTTTTTTTTCACTATTTATGGTCAAGGTCAAAGGTCATGTAGAAGTCACAGTCACAGTGACCTTGCCCATTTTAGTACATGTACTCTGTATACAAATTTGACATACTATATTCTTATGTTGTACTGCAGTTTGATGTCCACATCAATGTGTATCTGCAATATTCTGGGGAAACTGATTATGCTGTTTTAAGTATCTAAGGTCAGGGCTCTCGATCTGTCAGATTTGGGGCTGAATATCAGCCCCATTCCCAATGCAAAATAGTATCTTTTTTTCCCAATTTAGACCCGACGTTTCCCCAGTTCTAAGGAAAACACCATTATTTTTCCCAATTCTAAGGCCCCTGGGCCCCTGGGCCCCAGTCCCAAGCTGGGGTGTGAGAGCCCTGAACGTCAAGGTCAAAAGTCTAGTAGAGGTCGCAGTGACCTCACTTTTAAATATGCTATACACTAAACATCTATGTTGTATCATGTTGTACCTACTATATGTCCATACCTTAAAAATTAGCCGATATGTAATGCAATCAATTTGAGGTTTTTTAATGTAAAAACCAATTTTCATGATGTAATACTTACCATAACTTAAATTTTTAATTCGTCTTTAAATGGGTTAAATCATTTGTGACACTGTTGAATTTGTGGTAGAGGAATTCGGATGACTTTGTGTGACGTGCTGTTGCTAAGCCCGTCCCTAAAAGATGGGGCCAATCGGCATTATAGGCATTCTGTCAGAAGCTAAAGTTAGCAAATAACTGTAAAACATCTTAAAACCACATAACACATTTGATAGCCTACCTTCCATGGTGGTCGGTCTACCATCAGCATCCTGCATCGACAGTAACGTTCCGGAAGTGATCCCTTGGTTTGGTCTCGTTTTGGAAACCGCGCCAAACTTTTAAAGTCAATTTTCATCGGGCATAGGTTAATACTACGAAATGACATTGGAAATAAAATCCAGTGGGCCAGAAGTTTATCAGAAAAGTCTACTTTTAACTAAATGTCTAAAATACATTTATTTTTTCTGCAAAAGGCCAACTGTATTGATATACTTTTTTGTGTTTAACTTAGTTCTACTGTTGACTGTTACTGTAATAAAAAAAATTAAATCAGAGACAGGGATTATTTGAGTGTTTGTGCACTCCAATATTCTATATCATCAATGACAAATTAAATGTTTTAAAATGAATTAATGCAAAAACTGTTTTAAAAATTGCCGGATTCACTCTATTTTTATTTTATTTTTTTTTCACAATACCGGACAAAGTAATGAGATAGATATTAATGTGTCTAAACATCGATGTGTTGTTGACTTATAATATTACAATCAGTTGACACTCCATACTATATCGTCCATCCTCCACTTACTCCTCATTATATGATAATAAGGTGCGTGTTCATGGTTGTTAGCAGAACGTTTAAAAGTCAATAGTCTTTCTATATAAACCTAAACTGTCGTGTGTTCCATGGTGAGGATGCTATGCATGATACGATGAACTCGTGTCTAGTACCAGTTTCCTCTGACCTTTACACAAGACGTTAGATGGAAATGTTTGAAGTTTTGATTCCAGAGAAAACTCTGTCTTCTCCATAGCTTGATTACTATAACCGTCAGTGAGTGGGTGGAACATCTTTGCAGAAATACAGGAAACAAAATGCTGGGAACACCATGTATCGATCCTTACTTTATGGCTTGGAATGAAAAATAAAGACGGAAAACAAACAAATTTTGTCTTTGCTTCGTAATCCTTTAATAAAACCAAACAGTGTCTGATATAACAAATGCAGGGATTGAGGATTATAAAAAAGAACTCATCAGTTATGCTAAAGACCCTTTTACTTTTGAAACCCGGGAGGCGACAGACAGAAATCAAAATTGATCACACAAAGAGACCTACATAGGGGTACATGTACTTAGGCTTCAGTCTACCAACACGCTACAGAAACATTAATGATTAATTTGATCATTTTAAAAGGGAAAAAATAATTACATTATTGAGGTTCATGGTTATTTACAAAAAATAAATACCTAAAATAGCGTGTTAATGTCTCATATTCCCTATCTATATCGATGTTTCTTATTTTATTATTCTTTTTTTAAACTAGGTATAAACATCAAACATTACATTTTTTTTTAAAGTAACCAAACAGTTCAAACAAATCAAAAGCTCAACGTTTTCTCAAGCCCATACGATGGAAGGGAGGTAATCCACAATGAATACACTGACTAACTTTTATCTGTAAAGAAAAACGGCACTGAAAGTCCACATAGAGAGTGATATGGTTAGTTCCTATGCGTTGCTGGAAAGATCCACCCGTTTAAACAAAGATATTGTCAATCTCAGTTCTATCTATCAGGATTTCACTATTAGATTTCGTTTTATACTCTCTTCAACGATGGAACCGTCTTTTCACTTTTTTTTTTAGATTTTGTTTTAAAATTATTTAAATATAAACATAAATTGTTTGTTAAATGCAATATTCATCATATCATTCATCGTTGTTAAGTATCAAATGCCTTGGGCTACTTATGTACATAACTACCCGCCGGGAAACTGTCGACGAAAGGGTTTTAGTGGTCGTGATATGACACTAATTAGTTATTAGTTAATTGGACTGTGTGAGGTCAGTTTTACATGTATTACGTCAAAGAAATGAACTCTCGGCTCACATTTTGATAAGATATATAAAAATAATTAGTGATTAAAATTTTAAAAAAATCACTATACTCGCTATTTTATCGCCCGTTTTATTTTATCCCGAAATGTGATATTTTGTGTTATCTTGCTACATTTTTTACTTTTCGTATGTTTACTGGCGAATACTATGTTACATAAATATATTTCTATTTCAGATTACGGTTGGCTTTCATTCCTCGATATACATAATGTAAAGCTGTTTTGATTTGCTTCTGTAATTTCACCGTGCTGGGATATTTCATTTGTGTTTTGTTTATAACTGGTTATACATGTTTACTTGTATATAAGCTCTACAGAGCTAATGGTTTTTATCTGTACATAAACACTTGTCAAAAATAAATCTTAAATCAGCTTATACTCCCCGTACAGGAAATACAGAACGAAAGTCACAATAGAAAAACAAAGAAAAACAGAGAGCAGGACTTTATCTCCAGAGGATGTGTACAAATTTCACAGTAATACATACACACATGCTATATAATATCATCCACTTCCACACACGGGGCTATAATAATAATATGAAATATGAAAAAAATATCTATAACGGAGTGGGTCTAGCTTTTTAAACTTCAAAATCAGAGAATGAAAGCACACTGTGAGTTTGGACTGGGCTATGTTACTGTACAGAGAGGTAAAAAATCAAATTTATTTACGGAAAAGACGTTTCTTTCAGGAGCCAGTGTTCAAGACTGATAAACTGATTTTTATAGGAACTCGGTTAGAGTCAAGGGATCCTATAACATCGATTCGTTACTTGAATGAAGTTCATGTTTACTGAAGCATGATAAGCTAGGATTTCATCTTTGGTAATATGAGGTTTTTTGAAAACATGATTTCTAATGACAAAAATAGTTGTATTCTTGTCTCAGACAAAGTCAGCAGTTGTCTTTACTCCTACAAAATGCCGGTGATTATCATCCTTCCTTAAGTAAGGATTGTCCGCGTACACTAGGTTTAACAATTACTCTCGTGACACGGCCTTGTTAAACGTTTTCCCTTTCATACTCTCATAAAAGGTAAAATATCCAGAATTTGCAACATTCAAAATTACAAAATAGGATAGAGGGGTAGGGTGGGGGTTTCTAGAATTAAATCAATGACATTAAGTCATGCACATTTTTAACATAACAAACAAAAATTAAATGGCGATTTTGTACATCAAACGGCTTCCTTTACTGAAACAATCAGTATTGAAGTGGATTATTTATATAGATATTGAAATAACATATCCACCGTGAGTTCTGATTGTGTTTCAATATTCTAAAGTTCTTTTCTGAGATAATCAGTATAATCTGCCATAGCTTCATTTGCTCTGTTTATTTCGGTTATGGTGAAAAATCCGTGCTGAACTCCTTCCCAGTGCACGTGTTTTACCGGAAACCCCAGGTTTTTCCAACGCTTGGCTAACATCAAGCCGTCGTCCCTCAGTGGATCATATTCGCAGGTCAACAGGTACGTTTTCGGTAACTGTGACAACATTTCATCGTCCAGCATTAAAGGACACAGGTAGACATTATTAAAGAATTTGCCAACCTTTTCCGCCAAACTTTTATCAGCAGGTTTTAGATCTTCTGGTCGGGTCTGTAACTTGTGATATTTTCCCGGCAAAAGTTCTACATTTACTTCAGATGTGACACCATTCCGCATTTCCGCAGTTATATGTTGATTTTCCAAGAACTGGTCCACGTTACTTTCATTTCCAAAAATATACCGTAAGTAAAATCTAATCATTCTATCCGACTTTAATATAAACGGAAATGATCTATATGTATTATACGAAGGTGTTTTGAAGTCCATCATCTGCAGAGCCGGGTAAATCAGTCCGAGGAGTCGAGGGGGTTGCCGTTCCTGAGTTAGTTTGATTCCGACAGCCATCGCCAAGTTTCCTCCTGCACTGTCCCCTGTGTATTTTATGAACAGAAAACTATAAGAAAATACCAACATACCAAGATAATAATAATCCAGACACAAGTTCAATAAAAACCATGACAAAATATGAACAAAAGATTTACACGGAGACTCCTAAAAACAGTACAGGGAGAATAAGACCAGGTGTTCCGGAAGAGTAAGGGTCTTCTGCTTCACCGACAACACCCGCAATGTAAATCTTTGTCCTTTCGAGTAAGAAAAGATTACTCTCTGAACAAAGAAATTTAACTCGCCTAACGTTTCAAGTTAACATGAAGCCGAAATTAATGATGACAGTTATGAATAGTTTTTTTTCAACTCTGTAGAAAATAAAACCTGTGATATACTAAAAATAAGTAAAGAACTATTAAAGTAAGTATAAAATGAACATCTGAAGTTAATTCATGATGTTGTTATTATAGTAGTGTTGCCTTTCTGTTGTATACATACCAACAAACACAGTTCGAAAGGGTTCTCCCATTTATTATAGACTTTACTTTTACCCTTTCAAAATTTCATCTTGTCAGTCAAGTGTCTAAAGTCGGAGTGCCAAATAACGCGCCAAAATGACCAAAAATACAATACAAACAAAGAAAACACTGACCATTGGCTAAAGAAAGAGGTACCAGCAGGATTGCTATAAACCAACCAATCGAATAAATAGAAATACTCTGAACATATATCAAGGCCAAACTAAAGGGAAATACGTATTTCAATTAATAGACGGACGCTATAATGTATACATGGATTGAAATAATAAAAACATAAAATAACGAAATATCGTCTCTGCCACATTACGACGTGTTACGATAAGTACCTGACAACGCTATCCGGGTGGCATCTACCCCGTACATCTTGGCGTTTTTCATGAAGTATTTGGTCGCTGTCAGACAGTCTTGGAATGGTATAGGAAATGTATATTCTGGGGCTAATCTGTATCTACAACAACAAAAGTACTGTTGTTTATGTTACGATTGTTCCGGAACTGGATCCATTGTATGATGTAATATTTGAAATGGGTACATTTAAACTCATAAGTAGAGTTAAACTGAGTGTACGTCGCCCAGGACCAGCTGGCCAAACCGGATGAAGCGACGTTATTGAAGAAAAAAAGTTAGGATAAGCCGACACAGAAAGCGAAATAAAGCAAATGGCTATTTTGTATCATTTCATCCAAGTGTATGGTTAATCTTCTTTAGAACTAAGTCATCAGATACACTTTGGTGTAAAAGAATGATAATCGATATCTAGTTTTCCGAATCATGGTTTGAAAACACTAATGGGGAAGGTGTTTCTTTTTTAATTATTAACTGTTCATGTACTTACTCGACCGAAACAACAACAGCCGGAAGTGACGTTGCCAAGGTCCTGGTGAAGGCATCATACTGTTCTGAAATTCATTGATATTAACTTGTATTTCTATGTATGTTGATTGGTCAGATTAATTAGATCTCGACTTCATTGCTTGTGGTTGTTCAGCTCACAGGAACGTTTGTCTTTCAATAAACTGATTAGAAAAGGCAAAAGCTGGCTTGAAGCATTAAACAAGAGGCGAAATGGGCCTGCATGGCTCAGCTGGTAAGCATACAAACAATGTTCATAACAAATACATAAACACGTAGATCACTGACATTCAAAGTGTACACATCCAACCAACAATAACCGTCTTAGTTTTGCCGGGTTTTATTTCGGGGAGGTTTCAATCATATATCATGCTTTTTGGCATTTAGGTTAACCAACACACGTCGTTTAAAAGTTTTCATAAGTTTAACCCCTGTGTGCTTGAATATAGGCCAAAATCATTTCGTTTTTGCAAAATTTGTCGCACATTATCTTAGAGACCTAACTGCCGAACATCATGGTACTAGACATTTTGTTTAATCAGAAGAAGTCGTTTTCAATGTTTTGACTAATTTGACCTTAAATACGCATCAAAGTCATTTATTTCTGCAAACTTTGTCCAGTTTTATTTCAGAGAACTCTCAGTCAAATATCATTCTTCTGGGCCATTAAGCTAATTAGAAGAAGTCGTTTAAAGATTTTAACCATTTGACCCCTGTGACCTTGAATATGGGTCTAAACAGTTTCTTTCACAAACTTTATTGGGCTACATCCGAGGGACCTTACGGCTAAATATCAAACTTCCAGGCCTTTCTGTCTGTCATTTAAAGGTTTTGACAAATCAGACCCCTGTGACCTTGAATATGGGTTAAAATATTTCCTGTTCGCACACGTCAAGTTAGTAACGTTGTTGGACTTCTTATGAGAAATCTACTAGTCAAAATCTAGGTCGGTTGGTTATTTAGAAGATGTCGTTTAAAGGGAGAAAGTTGACGCCGGACGGACGCCGCGCTACGGTATAAGCTGGAAGGGCAAATGAGCAAGGAACACATATATATCTGTAACGAAGGAGTAACATTTCATGACTTATCCAATAAAACAGGTAGAAAATCTAGTGGCGAAATGAGTAAATACTATTTTGAACCTGAGGACGTTCTTCAACTTTTGCGGTAATTACCAGTCTCTACCACGAACAAGGACACGTGGTTTAATCATATCCTTTGAATACCAACCTACAGATCCTAGCACCCAGCCACCACCATGGTAAAACACCACTGCTCGCAGAGGTTTCACTCCGCTGTCACGTGGTACAAACAGCCTCACTTTGACACCATCAAAAATATCTTCCGTCACCTAATTGTTTACAAGTTTTTGTTGATTTAAACATATTATGTTATTATTATTAGATAAATGGATCAGAGACAAGTTCTAGCAACTTATGAAATCTTCTCCATAGATTAAATTACAAATAATTGATATACTGCACGTGACACATATTTATATTATAAATATGAAGATAAGTAATTCGTAGGCGTACAATTGTAAGTTTACATCATTTTGTCAAAAGAAGGAAAAGATGAGATGATAGGACAGAAAGGAAAGAAGCGAAAAAGAGATAGTCTAGATTTTATATCAATTCTATATCAATTCAGTGCCAATTACAAACAGTTTTTGTTATTTCGTTTATAGAAAATGTGAACATCATTATAAATGTTCCAGTTTATTTTGTATTGATGATAATTCTACTAAAATGATATCTGTGTATACATGGTATATTCAAATATCTTACAATAGACGAGATTACTGTAAAACACTGGACTAAATTATTATAATACATTTTCCTCATGTGAAGTAATAATAATCTTAAATCGAAGGAAAATTAACTGTAATGAAAGATTAAGTGATCTTTCCCTATATATGACATAGAAAATATCGTAACATTCACACATTCTCACCCGACGCTTCAAACTACAAATGAAATGAGTATACCCTATTAGATAAAATTGTGACGTGACATTGGTTAGTGACATAATGATCACGAGGAAGACCGAGAGTCCTGGAAGTTAAGGAAGTTACCAGATTGGAACAGAAACAGTGTGAGTCTGCGCAATTACAGATCAATTATATTATCGACTGGGACATTTCCAGAGTGATAAATATTGTTTTGAAGCGCCAACTGGATGCGCCGTAGCAGGTCGGCGCTGAAATTTGATAAATGGACCCATTTATTGTCGCACATCTATTATCTGGTTTTAGATCAAGCGTAACCAAATCAAATTTTGCAACTTGTTCAGATATGGGAAATTATAGTCAATCAGTTATGTCCATAATTTAACACTATGACTCGGCTAAAATGTATGCACGTGCATTGCTCACTTCCAGTAGAACTCGGATATTTGGTTTACTGCACTATTGAGAGTTTTTCTGCTGCCAAGTCGGTAAAAAGCTGACGAATAATTTTGCGCTGGTTATGTAAATCACAACCAGTGTAAACTTACCTGGACTACCAGTAAATCACAACCAGTGTAAACTTACCTGGACTACCAGTAAATCACACAACCAGTGTAAACTTACCTGGACTACCAGTAAATCACAACCAGTGTAAACTTACCTGGACTACCAGTAAATCACAACCAGTGTAAACTTACCTGGACTACCAGTAAATCACAACCAGTGTAAACTTACCTGGACTACCAGTAAATCACACAACCAGTGTAAACTTACCTGGACTACCAGTAAATCACAACCAGTGTAAACTTACCTGGACTACCAGTAAATCACAACCAGTGTAAACTTACCTGGACTACCAGTAAATCACAACCAGTGTAAACTTACCTGGACATCTCTATCGTTACATTTATGTTACCAGTAAATCACAACCAGTGTAAACTTACCTGGACATCTCTATCGTTACATTTATGTTACCAGTAAATCACAACCAGTGTAAATTTACCTGGACTACCAGTAAATCACAACCAGTGTTAACTTACCTGGACTACCAGTAAATCACAACCAGTGTAAACTTACCTGTACTGCCAGTAAATCACAACCAGTGTTAACTTACCTGGTACACGAGTAAATCAGACCGATCTTTATATTACCTGGACTACCAGTAAATCACAACCAGTGTTAACTTACCTGGACTACCAGTAAATCACAACCAGTGTAAACTTACCTGGACATCTCTATCGTTACATTTATGTTACCAGTAAATCACAACCAGTGTAAACTTACCTGGACTACCAGTAAATCACAACCAGTGTAAACTTACCTGGACATCGATATCGTTACATTTATGTTACCAGTAAATCACAACCAGTGTAAACTTACCTGGACTACCAGTAAATCACAACCAGTGTAAACTTACCTGGACTACCAGTAAATCACAACCAGTGTAAACTTACCTGGACTACCAGTAAATCACAACCAGTGTTAACTTACCTGGACTACCAGTAAATCACAACCAGTGTAAATTTACCTGGACTACCAGTAAATCACAACCAGTGTAAACTTACCTGTACTACCAGTAAATCACAACCAGTGTAAACTTACCTGGACTACCAGTAAATCACAACCAGTGTTAACTTACCTGGACTACCAGTAAATCACAACCAGTGTAAACTTACCTGGACTACCAGTAAATCACAACCAGTGTAAACTTACCTGGACTACCAGTAAATCACAACCAGTGTAAACTTACCTGGACTACCAGTAAATCACAACCAGTGTTAACTTACCTGGACTACCAGTAAATCACAACCAGTGTTAACTTACCTGGACTACCAGTAAATCACAACCAGTGTAAACTTACCTGGACTACCAGTAAATCACAACCAGTGTAAACTTACCTGGACTACCAGTAAATCACAACCAGTGTTAACTTACCTGGACTACCAGTAAATCACAACCAGTGTTAACTTACCTGGACTACCAGTAAATCACAACCAGTGTAAACTTACCTGGACATCGATATCGTTACATTTATGTTACCAGTAAATCACAACCAGTGTTAACTTACCTGGAAATCTCTATCGTTACATTTATGTTACCAGTAAATCACAACCAGTGTTAACTTACCTGGACATCTCTATCGTTACATTTATGTTACCAGTAAATCACAACCAGTGTAAACTTACCTGGACATCGATATCGTTACATTTATGTTACCAGTAAATCACAACCAGTGTAAACTTACCTGGACATCGATATCGTTACATTTATGTTACCAGTAAATCACAACCAGTGTAAACTTACCTGGACTACCAGTAAATTACAACCAGTGTAAACTTACCTGGACTACCAGTAAATCACAACCAGTGTAAACTTACCTTGACATCGCTATCGGATAGTTCTTGGGAAGTGTGGACAGTTTCCGGATTGTGTGATCCCCTTGCACACCTTTGAAATGTTGAATACCCGATGTACTCTTGAAAATCGCACTAGTGAATGAAAATAAAGATAATGGTGAAGAAACTGTAGTGGCAAAATTGTCTGCATAGTTTAGGTATCTATGTTAACCAGAAACCATCAATGTATAGATTTTGTCCATAAGGTCCCCTAGGTTGTTTGGGGTTACATGTACTTTCATAAATAAAAGGATATTTTATCGTTAAACTACAAAGAAGCTAATTCTCACCATCATTAATTTTGCTCCGGATTCAATAGAATGTTTCATTTGTACACTCGAGTCAACAGCGTCATCTGGAAAGGGTGTGTACAGGAAATATGCCACGCCCACCATCATTAGTGCTAAAATCAGGAGGAATCCCGCACAACTCATCTTGTTACTGCTGGAATGGCAAAGATGGAAAACAGCATCAGCACAGGAGAAAAATGTAACGTTTAGATAAAGTCACTTATAGATAAACATTGTCGGGAATTGATCGTGAAAACAGGAATTTATAATAAATGAAACATATCATATAAGCCTAATAAAACTAAAGAGTCGAAAGCTTGTGTCTCCGAGGGAGGAACAGCGTAGCCATGGAGACGGAATATTGTGTTTTGGAATGAAAAGGAACCGTGTTTTGGAAGAAAAGAGAACCATGCAGGTCGGGGGAGTGGCACATGCGAGATTCCACGTGCCCAGGAAGAGAGTGGAACAAGGCAAATACTTATTAATAATTAAATATTTTAAAATATGATGTGGTCAAAACTTCCAGAGCCTCGCAAAATTATGACAATTAGTGAAAAAACAATGAGCCATTTCCTTTCTGTATCACATCTACTGCAGTTTTCGCTATATACCAGACTCCGGTTGTTCAAAAACAGGTTCGAGGTAACCAGTGGTTTGTGAAAATTTTCAGACATGAAGTAAATAAATTGGGAATATCATTTATAATGCGCGTGAAATTTAGATATTTTAGATTGAAATTTGTTTTTATATCATTTTCCTCTACAGTGGAAACAATCGAATTTTCCACTAACTAATGGTTACTTTCTACTAACCTCGGAGCAACCGGAGGATATTTATTGGGTTTAGTATGACGTAATGTTATCTTGGGTAGTATGACGTAATGTTATCCTGGTTGGTATGACGTAATGTTATCCTGGTTAGTATGACGTAATGTTATCCTGATAAGTATGACGTATTGTTATCCTGGTTAGTATAACGTAATGTTTGTCCTGGTAAGTATCACGTAATGTTATCCTGGTTAGTATCACGTAATGTTATCCTGGTTAGTATGACGTAATGTTTTCCTGGTTAGTATGACGTAATGTTATCCTGATAAGTATGACGTATTGTTATCCTGGTTAGTATAACGTAATGTTTGTCCTGGTAAGTATCACGTAATGTTATCCTGGTTAGTATCACGTAATGTTATCCTGGTTAGTATGACGTAATGTTTTCCTGGTTATTATGACGTAATGTTATCCTGGTTAGTATGCCGTAATGTTTTCATGGTAAGTATCACGTAATGTTATCCTGGTTAGTATGACGTACTGTTATCCTAGTTAGTATGACGTAATGTTATCCTGGTTAGTATCACGTAATGCTTATCCTGAAGGGCAGATATGTAATTCATCCAATGAAAAAAAATCAATAATTTCTCTCGGTCGTTCACCAGAAGGATATCGCGGATACGAAAGTAACAATAATTAAGAGTATGATAAATTTTTTTATTTGATTGATTTTAAATATTGTCATTTATGTGCTTGTCCATGTACGTGCGTGTGTGAGAATCTATATATGTACTTGTGTATGTATGTGAGAATGCGTGTTTGTTTATATCATGTAATCGTGTTGTTTTATGAACATGATACAAAACCAGGTTATAATCTGTTGATATGGTTGTTCGTTTCTACATGTGGCACTGTACACAACTATGACACAAGACGTCTAACAACTTCATCGAAGCAACATAGTGGATTATAAGCAAACAGTCGAATAATGGCAGGCAACTGACTAGCAGACATTGAAACACTCTGAAATAAACATAAAAAGCTACACTTAACACTGGGCATCATTTCAAGGGTGGGGGGAGGGGGGCACTTAATGTGTAGAATGAATAATATGTTTGAATACATATTGACAATCTATTAAAGGTTATCTCAGCATGCAGAACACTGAATGCAAAGTACCACACAGCAGCTAACAGCCTGTGACCATGAGATGCCCTAATTAATAATATACATAGTCACATGCAGTGTAGCTGTGGGAGTCTTAGTAAAAAACATGAAACTAAGACTTTTTCATTCATATTTTAATACATAACAATATGCAGGGTGAATCTGTAAAATGACACAAGAAAATCAGGTGCACAATAAAAGTATGCCTTGATATTTATATGAGTAAACATAAATAATATAATCCCACTGGCTACTTACTTGAATTTTGGTGCATTAGGAATGAGGAGACCATAGCAAAACAATGTAAGGTAATATACAATCGGATCTCGCTTACAGGCGTTTCTAATGAAGTAGCATGTTGTTTGCCTTCACACTGAACATACATGTGCAGAGAAGGTAAACCTATACTCCAACAACTGTTTGAAATTGATGCAACAACAATTATATCATTCATGACAATAATGAAAACAAGTACAGTGTGACCTTGCTTGAAGTGTAAAATATTTTATCTTAAGTCCCATATTGCACCAGTCAAATACAAAGTATACACTCTCTACATATGCATCACTGATACCATAAACCAGTCAACAAATCATGTCTTCTGTCTACATGTTTTGTATTCATCACTAAACCCAAGATAACTATGTATTGTACAAGTTATAGGCTAGTTGCTTATTTTGTGACCCAAATGAAACTACTGTCAAACTCAAAAGTTAACTGTAATCAATCACACTACTTTGCACACATGTCAGTGCACAACAACATGTTACAGCAAAATAAAAAAAAAATACTCCTTACATCAGGCGAATGACCATCTCTTAGTATAGCTGCTCAAATACTTAATGATAGTTCTCCAAAAAAAACCTTTCATCATTACTTGAAACACTGCCTACTACAATGACATCCACTACTCAGAACTATATATATGTTTACAAGTCAAAATGAATAGGCCCTATCATACAAAGGTAAATCGGATAAGGCACACAATCTGTAGAACATCAATTTGTGCATGGTAGCAACTTGACAGCTTGTGCAATACCCTCCCAATATGGCGGACCGCTAGACACGCCGCGCGGCATTTAAGATTACATATCTATGACTTACACAGAGATTCAATCCTTATAAAGGGGCGTAACTCTTGATCAACACATCAACCCATAAGATGGACTATTAAATAAGAGGATATCATTAACTTTCCATTAAGCATGAAATTACATATAAATGGAACGGGGTGGGGATTTGGGCGGAGGCACGACGCAACTCAATATCTCCAATGCACAGGTTTATTCAGTCCAGAAAAAATAACACCCTAAAAGAAATAAAATAGACAACATTCACTATATGTTTCACATGGACATCAAGACTTTCTTTAACAATACATTATTACTCTAACAATATTTTAAAATATGACATATAGACAACCTGAATTACCTCGATAAAAACTAAGGATATTGGCACAGAGATAAATTACAATTTATCTATTCCACATCTCAGAATGAATCTTTAACGTAGATAATGATGAAAACGTTATCATAATTTCATATTTCATATACAAACTTACTCTATCAAAGCGACAAGGGTTCTTTTCCCTACTGGCTTAGGTAACGGTCTCACTATTGTACCTGATCTACTCAACCTAACAAAAATAGGAAAAAATACCTCATTGTTACTACAGTAACACATCATGATAAGTAATATGATATTAGATACTTGTATAATAGCAACATACCACTTTACAGCGTTACATTGGTTTCAAATAGTTAGTTAATAGACAATTCTCAATATGTCTGACAGACTGAGTATATCTCACTGAGTTTTTAGATACAGAAAAACATAATCTGAATAATATAATTACACATATATTACTACTAATTGTATAGATGTATACAATTACTATTAATTAAATATATAAATAAAATAAACTAATTTACAGCTACTATAACAATATGTACCTGATATGGAATATAACGATATACAGGAGGTGGAAAGGACTGTGTCCATGTGAGTAGTCTGGGCGGTAAATGCCCCAACTGCATGTACCAGGTGTTAAACAGGTTTCAGGAATGTGTTCTCATGACAGGTAGAGGTTAATGTAAAAGGTCACAGGTGACAGGACATAAACACAAGCGCATGACACTTCACAATTGACAAAACAAATATAGACAGTGACACGGGACTTGGCTAATAGGATAATTAACGCAGACTAGACTAATTACAATAATTTATGACTTACTGAACACGACTTACAAAACTACTACTTATCATTGCTGGTGCATAATCCTGGACAGTCTGTCTCTGCCACATCAACCATAACGTTACAATTACTTAGCCACGCAAACAACAACAAGTTATCGTATTGAACTAAATTATTTATAATTTAAAAATCAGGATTTCGTATACACAAGTATCTATTTTGACACCTGCCACAAAAATGATCAACAATGACCAACAAAGAATGTAACTCCCGTCAAATCGAGTGACCAATCACAAGACCATGTGAACAACCAATGAAATACAGACTGACCACATTATACTTTAGATCATAACCACAAGACACAACCAGGTATACATGCATTTATGTAACAAAAAACATGTACAAATTACAGAAATGTTAGCTTTAATAATAGGAGTTACTTCCCTTGTAATGCAGCATGCACAAAAGCCTGTATAATAATTATAATACATTCATGATCAGAAATATGCACATAGATCTGACATTGAGAAAATAAATGTTGAGAAACAGAATATAAAAGTGAAAAATTCTTCCAGAGATTACTAGACGTATGAGAGCACACAAAGCATTTACGCTCCCAGGCTAAAGTAGTGATAAGTCACCTTACAAATGATCTTCGCGAACATATTTCTGGTTTTGCAAACAAATCCTTTTTAAACCTGGTTCTCGTGTAGAAATAATTCCGTTTGAATGAACACGTAATGATGAAATATCACGCATATATACCTACAGCCACAGATATTCTCAGACAATGGCACACTTTGTAGTAGATCACTACGTGTATACATTATAAAGTCTCGTGACCTTACTTTCGGTTTGACATTAGACGAGATTTTGAGCATGTTACAGTCCCTGTTATCTGAATCACACCGTCATAAGGTAAGCATACATGTAGATACCTAATGCATTCATATGGTATACTCAATTACAGACACTACACTCTGAACCATAGGTGCCAGACTCGTCTGTCTATACACTATACTGATTACAAGGTTTTAACTCAATGTGTGATGAAGGTTTATGGTATAGAGTACACCAGCACAATGCGTCATACACCAATATAAAATCATGTTATCTGTCGATTCAGACCACTCACTCTCAGCGACATGATCTCGAACGATTTTGTGTTAGCAGAGACGTATATATCACATATATATGTGTTATATATGTCTCTGGTGATAGCCACAAGTTTCCCAAAATTGGGTCGTTTCGCTTGGTCAATTGTGTTACAAACGTTTAACAGTATGAGTGTATTTTTTAGCTCGGCCACATCCTTACGTATACAGGTCAGTCATAATATAGGTCTATTAGAAAAAAAAGTAACCACACACTATGAATGAGCAAGACATATATGTCATAAACTACGTGCTGTCTAACGTGTAAACTATTCAAACTGGATATTTATTTAAATAGGCAGATTGACAAGCATGCACAGGTAAATAATAAGTGAATCTATTTTTAGAATGTACTCGCCTGTGCTTTACTGATATCATCTTTCCGGCAAGAAATGGCCGCAGAACAGCCCTGACTGGTAACCCTGGTAACCATTCAAAGCCAGACATTCTTCATAAAGTGTGGGGTTCGAACCAAGGTCTTTGGGATCAACATAACATTCCCTAGGCATGCGTTGTGATGATCACATCAGAAAACATCAGAAATTTGTTCAAGAGAGAATGCAGAAAAATACATCACATAGATATTTCGGTATCAGTACATACTTGTCGGTGTCCTTTAAAGAATCGAACACTAGCCTTCTTGTTTAAAGGATATGGAAAACGACACCGCCCGAACTCCGAGGTGTTTCTAGTTTTGTTCCAAAGTTGGGTGCTGATGTTTGTCGATGAAATTGTAGGCTTTTATATATTTTTTTTCAGTCCAGACAAGATGAGATGTACACGTGTCCTATTGGTTTTAGCAATACTGGTTGTGGGATTGGCATATTTCCTGTATACTCCCTTCCCAGACGATGCGGTTGAAACACTATATCAGATGAGCATCTCCTTACTAACCGCTACAGTAATGGCGATGGTAAGAACCGATATCTCTGTACACTACAGTAATGGTAAGAACCGATATCTGTACACTACAGTGATGGTAAGAACCGATATCTGTACACTACAGTGATGGTAAGAACCGATATCTGTACACCACAGTAATGGTAAGAACCCATATCTCTGTACACTACAGTGATGGTAAGAACCGATATCTCTCTACACTACAGTAATGGTAAGAACCGATATCTCTGTACACTACAGTAATGGTAAGAACCGATATCTCTGTACACTACAGTAATGGTAAGAACCGATATCTCTGTACACTACAGTGATGGTAAGAACCGATATCTCTGTACACTACAGTAATGGTGATGCTAAGAACCGATATCTCTGTACACTACAGTAATGGTAAGAACCGATATCTCTGTACACTACAGTAATGGTAAGAACCGATATCTGTACACTACAGTGATGGTAAGAACCGATATCTGTACACCACAGTAATGGTAAGAACCCATATCTCTGTACACTACAGTGATGGTAAGAACCGATATCTCTGTACATTACAGTAATGGTGAGAACCGATATCTCTGTACACTACAGTAATGGTGAAAACCGATATATATGTACACTACAGTAATGGTAAGAACCGATATCTGTACACTACAGTGATGGTAAGAACCGATATCTCTGTGCACTACAGTAATGGTGAGAACCGATATCTCTGTACACTACAGTAATGGTGATGGTAAGAACTGATATCTCTGTACACTACAGTAATAGTAAGTACTGATATCTCTGTACACTACAGTAATGGTGTTGATATGGCTACATGTTAATATCTCTCTACACTTCGAATTCGGTAATGCTGATTGGTACGACTTAATATCTCTATGCTACTATAATGGTAATGAAAAGACTTGATACTTCTGATGGGCCGTCCTCAAGAAGTATCATTGAGGGAAATATATGGTACAGGAATGTAATCAAAATTCTATCCAAGACAAGAAAAACACACCACGACGAGTTTTATTTTCCGTGACAAATCTGTAACACATGTACCCTTGTTTATAATTTACTAGTGCGATTTTCAAGAATACATCGGATACTCGAGTTTCACGAAGTGTGTGCTGAATCCTTTAAATCTTCGAACTACAACCACTTACACCACTGAGGAACTCTCGGATAGCAGTGTCCAGGTAAGAATCGGATAGCAGTGTCCAGGTAAGAATCGGATAGCAGTGTCCAGGTAAGAATCGGATAGCAGTGTCCAGGTAAGAATCGGATAGCAGTGTCCAGGTAAGAATCGGATAGCAGTGTCCAGGTAAGAATCGGATAGCAGTGTCCAGGTAAGAATCGGATAGCAGTGTCCAGGTAAGAATCGGATAGCAGTGTCCAGGTAAGAATCGGATAGCAGTGTCCAGGTAAGAATCGGATAGCAGTGTCCAGGTAAGAATCGGATAGCAGTGTCCAGGTAAGAATCGGATAGCAGTGTCCAGGTAAGAATCGGATAGCAGTGTCCAGGTAAGAATCGGATAGCAGTGTCCAGGTAAGAATCGGATAGCAGTGTCCAGGTAAGAATCGGATAGCAGTGTCCAGGTAAGAATCGGATAGCAGTGTCCAGGTAAGAATCGGATAGCAGTGTCCAGGTAAGAATCGGATAGCAGTGTCCAGGTAAGAATCGGATAGCAGTGTCCAGGTAAGAATCGGATAGCAGTGTCCAGGTAAGAATCGGATAGCAGTGTCCAGGTAAGAATCGGATAGCAGTGTCCAGGTAAGAATCGGATAGCAGTGTCCAGGTAAGAATCGGATAGCAGTGTCCAGGTAAGAATCGGATAGCAGTGTCCAGGTAAGAATCGGATAGCAGTGTCCAGGTAAGAATCGGATAGCAGTGTCCAGGTAAGAATCGGATAGCAGTGTCCAGGTAAGAATCGGATAGCAGTGTCCAGGTAAGAATCGGATAGCAGTGTCCAGGTAAGAATCGGATAGCAGTGTCCAGGTAAGAATCGGATAGCAGTGTCCAGGTAAGAATCGGATAGCAGTGTCCAGGTAAGAATCGGATAGCAGTGTCCAGGTAAGAATCGGATAGCAGTGTCCAGGTAAGAATCGGATAGCAGTGTCCAGGTAAGAATCGGATAGCAGTGTCCAGGTAAGAATCGGATAGCAGTGTCCAGGTAAGAATCGGATAGCAGTGTCCAGGTAAGAATCGGATAGCAGTGTCCAGGTAAGAATCGGATAGCAGTGTCCAGGTAAGAACATATACTGAAAGGATAAAGAAACGCAGGGTAATATTTATTCCAATATTTTGAAAACGCGTTCTCCAAATAAAGTGAATTACACCTTGCCATGTATCGAAAATTTAGTCACGGTACAGTGCGCAACTCTGGTAAATGGAGGAAGGAAAAAACAAGAATCTCGTACACCGTGTTGTTCTGGTCTCATGCAGCGTTGGTTAAGTCACTCTTCGTTAGTCTTTATACAGACCAACTGCTTCCCTAAAATTAATTGAGAATCTGATTTGTTTTAAGAATGACACGACTCACAGAAGTTCAGAGAGGTCAGGCCATTCAGATGCTGATGCAAGGACTGCTGCAAAATCAGGTTGCTAGGCACTTTGGTGTTAATGTTTCCACCATAGAACGTCTTGTAAGACGTCTTCGGGAAACTGGGCGATTGGCCGATCGACCTAGGTCAGGACGTCCGCGCGTAACGTCACGACGTCAGGATCGCTATATCGTCGTCTCTCATGTGCGTAATCGGCGCCTTACTGCCGTTGAGAGTGCACTTAATGTTCGTGGAAATCATTGGCGTCCTATAAGTTCAAAAACTAAGGAATCGATTACGAGAAGTTGGTGTAAGAACACGTCGCCCCTACGTAGGTCCACACCTTACCCCTGCTCGACGTCAGTGTCGTATGGCCTGGGTCGCTGCACATGCTCCACGACGGTTTCCACTGAGGCAGTGGAGACAAGTTCTCTTCACGGACGAGTCTCGATTCTGTCTTTATCGATCTGACGGCCGTCAACGTGTCTACCGACGTCGTGGCGAACGTTTTACGGACGCTTGCGTTGTAGAGAGGGATAGGTTTGGGGGCGGTTCAGTAATGGTGTGGGGAGGAATCTCACACGGTTTAAAATCACAATTGGTTGTTATTGATGGCAATTTAACAGCAGCTAAGTATAGAGATGAGATCATCCGACCCCATGTTATCACTTTCTTACAGCAGCATAATCTAACCCTCCAGTAGGATAATGCTAGGCCCCACGTAGCAAGCATTTGCCAAGTCTTTCTGGCCAACAACAACATTCAACCACTTGATTGGCCGCCATATAGCCCTGATTTGTCCCCGATCGAGCATCTTTGGGACCAGTTGGATAGACAGGTTCGAAAGCGCCAGCCACCCCCTGCTACTCGAGAGCAGTTGACCAGAGCTCTGATTGAAGAGTGGGACAACATCCCCATAAGACGGATTAACGCTCTCATCAACTCTATGACCAGAAGAGTAAGGGCCGTGACCACAGCAAACGGCGGACACACAAGATATTGATGACTCAGTTCAATTTCAATTTCAAAACCTATGGGTCCATTCAATTTAATCGTTAGTACCTCTAAACCAATTGTCAGATGCAAAATAGAGACTTTGGAAATTTTTAAGCTTTAATTTATCTGTAAGTATACAAAATTTCGTTTTAAATGAAGCCCGATATCATACTTAATTTCTGGTTTAAAGTTCACCCTGCGTTTCTTTATCCTTTTAGTATATATTAGACCGTTGACCTCTCTAAGTTTAAATTATTGTTTGACGAACATGGGTAAATATGTTAGTTTTTGAAAGACTACCCCTTCCCCGCACCCAAACGCGGAATCACGGAGAGGGATACCTATTTACACATCCAGTCTCTTGTGCACTCGTCGTACAGCTGACATAGAATTTCGAGTGGGTAAAGATATTTGGACGGAGATCCAGTTTCCAAGGAAGAACTACCTATTATTTTGTTTGCATAGACCTCCTAGTATTACACATTCATTTTGGAACCACTTTCGACTTTCTCTAGAATCTGCTTTTCACGACACATAGTGATTGTTGGTAATTTAAATGTTGATCTCCTAACCGTAGAAAACGTGCATGTCATTTCTGATATCATCCAATCGTTTCACCTGACTAATGTAATAGACAGCACGACACGTATTGGACGTACGAGCGTTACACTGCATGACCCTATACTACACTTTGACACGTGCATTTCTAAGTTCTCTGACGTAATTGACATAGAAAACAACCTTTCAGACCACAAATTGACTGATGGGACTGCTCTTACAAGGGCATAAGAAGGAAAAATAACGTGTTATAATTAAGCTAATTTGGAACTTTTTAACAACAGACTTGACGATACTTGAGAAGGGAATAGTGACCGGATGCACATTATCACCTATCCTGTTTGTGATGGGAATGAACATCATCTTGAAAGCTACTGAGAGAGAGACTAGAGGGCCGAAAATGAACTCAGGAATTTATCAACCATCAAGCAGAGGGTTTATGGATGACCTGACGATCACAACAACAACCCATGTTCAGGCACGTTGGACACTGTCGGCACTAGACGAAGTGGTCAACTGGGCCCGTATGAAATTTAAACCGAAGAAATCCCGGTGTATGATCATCAAGAAAGGCCGGTTGACAAAGCAGTTCATCCTTCGGGTCCAGGGGGAGGAGCTACCATCAATCATTGACAACCCAGAGAAATGTCTAGCGAGATGTTACGACGACACCCTGTCTGAAAAGAAGAATGTGAGCAAGGTTGAGGAGCAAGTAACTGAATGGCTGCAGAGGATCGACAAGTCAGGACTACAAGGGAAATTCAAAGCTTGGCTATATCAACATGGTGTTCTTCCTAGACTGTCTTGGAACCTGATGCTGTATGAGCCACCACTGACAGCAGTTGAAGCCTTGGAGAGATGTACCAGCAGGGAGTTACGATCATGGCTGGAGTATCACCTAGTTTCCCGGTAGTTGGCCTGTACAGCAAGACATCTCGGTTGCAGTTACCATTGTCCTCCATGGTGGAAGAATTCAAGGTGGCCACGTGTAGGTTGGTTATGACCCTGAAGGACTCCAAAGACATCAAGGTACAGAAAGCTTGAGTGGTCACAAGGACAGGCCGGAAATGGTCAGCTGGTGCTACAGTCCGCAAAGCTGAGAGTACGCTGGATTTACAATACATCGTGGGAAACATCTGTGTTGGTAGACGAGGATTGGGAGTCGATCACTTTCAGCAGTGGAGCAAAGCAGAAGGCAGGGAAAAGAGAGACAGAATTGTATCTGTGGTGAGATCAGAGGAGGAACAGCAGCGCAAAAGTAGAGTAGTTGAGTTAGGACAGCAAGGATCATAGACACGGTGGAATCTTCCTGAACGCAAGATTACATGGACAGACTTGTGGAAAATGGAACCTCTCAGGATATCCTTCATACTCAGGTCTGTGTATGACACACTGCCATCTCCAAGCAACTTGTGTAGGTGGGGCCTTCTGGAAGATCCAGCTTGTTCCTTGTGCAGTGGAAGAGGCACACTTGCACATATCCTATCAGGCTGTAGAGTAGCCCACCAGCAGGGACGGTACAGATGGCGTCATGACCAGGTTCTAGCTGCCCTTGCAGATATTCTGGAAAAGGAGCGGCGTCAGAAGAGGTCACTGATAGAACCTCATAAACCTCACATACAGTTTGTGAGAGCTGGAGAGAAGGGACCACCAACTGCCACTGCATATCGTGTGAGTGTACTCAGCCAAGCAGCATCCTGGGAAATGAGAGTAGACCTCAACATGCGTCTCGTCTTTCCTGATGTAGTGCATACCACTCTGAGACCAGACATTGTCATATGGTCGCAACAGCGCCAGAAGGTCATTTTGGTGGAGCTGACAGTTCCATGGGAAGATGGGTGTGATGAGGCACATGAGAAGAAAGCTGGCAAATACCAAGAGCTAGCAGAGCAGTGCAGACAAAAGGGATGGAACACATGGCTGTTTCCAGTAGAGGTCGGTGCCAGAGGAGTCCCTGCAGTCACACACAAAGAGGAAAGCAGCTATTAAGACCTTGGCTGAAAGGGCCGAGCGAGCATCATGCTGGCTATGGCGTGGACGAGATGAGCCAAACTGGAGCCCAGACAACAGCAAGCAGTGATTGATCACCACTTCTGACCCGCCAACCAGAGGACGTCGTGGAATAGGGGTCGAAACGCCCGATGTTGGTTGGAATCCACCTGACGATGCTGACAACAGAAGGCTCCAGAGCTCCATGTCATCAGTGCCTAACCGAAGCAGCGGTTGGGTTACTGTTAGCAGAGAAATCTGTAAGTTCACACTGACTGGTTAGATTTGTTTTCGACGAAGCGTTTCCCGGACGAAGTATGTGAATTTTTTACAGATAAATACTTGTCCTTTGCCGTGGAGTGCATACCGACAGAAAGTGCGACCGAATGTCAAGTTCAATTCAGACTTACGACGAGAAATTAGGAAAAGAAACAGACTACTCAATAAATCCAAAATTAATCGCTGTCCAGGCAATCCGACTAATTTCCGGAAACAACGTGATCATGTAAATACTCTATAGAAAGGTATAAAAGAAAAACTTTTATGCGGACATAAATGGTATTTTAGATCGTTATTCCGTTTCGAACCCAGAAACTTTAAGAAAATAGTCTGCTGACTATTAAAAACGTCTGACATTACCAATACTTTACCTCCCCTTATTAACAATTTTGGTAATCTTGAAATTTCAAATGAAGGTAAAGCTAATATTCCAAATGATTACAGTGTTTCCGTCTCTACTATTGACGATACTGACAACGGCATTCTAGAAATAAAGTTAAGGACGGACGCTACTTTGACAGACATGCTTTTTCAATTAGACGACATTTCTGACATTCTTAAATCACTACATGCTTATAATGCGGTAGACAGTGATACAATTACTCACGTTATGTTACAAATACCGCAGAATCTATAGCTTACCCATTGTCTATAATGTTTAGAGCTTCCTTTGGAACTGTTATATTCCCGCCACAATCGAAATTAGCTCTAATAATGCCTTTATTTAAAAAAGTGGATAAACATGAATATTGTATCTACAGACATATATCGCTTCTTAGTACTCTTAGTATTTTTTTTGAACGTTTAATTGTGAAATATCTAAATAACTATTTACTTGATAATTCATTAATCTATAAATACCAATCAGGTTTCCAGCCTGGTCATTCTACTGTCCATCAACTTATAGATATATATCATACATTATGCGAAAATATTGAAATGGACATGTTTAGGTTTTGGTGATATTTCCAAAGCGTTCGATAGTGTGTGACACAAGATACTGGGTGTAAAATTAGCAAATTATGGTATCGTGGAAAACTTCTAGTCTGGTAAAATAATTCTATCAGTAATAGAAAGCAACAAGTCTTTGTAGTAAGTTGTAAGTCTTCCGTTGAATCTATTAATACAGGTGTTCCACAAGGTTCGGTATTAGATCCATTGCATTTTATTATATACATTAACGATATATCTGATTACCTCGAAAGTCTCTCTAAGCTGTTTGCCGAAGATACTTCATTATTATGTTCCGGAAGTTTTCCTTATTTCAAACATTAAACATGATCATGTCATTCACATCCAATTTAGTAATGTGAATGTTGACTTTGTTGGTCATCCTAAGCATCTAGGAGTAATTTTAGATGAAAATTGTAAATAGGAAATAGGGTAGACGAAGTCTGAAATGGATGTTCTCTCAGTGACGCAGAAAATCTGGAAATAATTTTAGTACTTTAAGCAATGACCTTTTCAGATCCAGTTTAATAGCTTACTGTCACTGCCAATGCGGACATCTTCTTGAAGGCACTTACCAATACTTTTTCGCTTGTAATAATTATGCGGACCAGAGAGCAATTCTATACCGAGAACTAAATGATTTTATCCCACTAGACCTGTAGTTACTACTACACAGTAATGATAACTACTCTAATGAAGATAATGTCAAAGTATGTCAAATCACTCTGCAATATATACTTAACTCTAACATATATATATATCTATATCCTTCTCTCTCACTCTCTCCCTAATGTAAAACGTTAAATGTCTCTCCTCACTCCGGCCAACTAATGGCGAAAATTTACAAGAAGGATCTGGATGACAGGAGAATGGAATAGCACGGGATATGATGAACTTTGGAATAGCTCGAGGGCATTGAAAAGTGTACAGTGTAACTTAAACTAGTGTTATCCGGTTAGGAGACTGCATTATTCGAAATTAAATAAATTATATATATATCACACACACACACACACACTCTCACTCTCTCTCTCTCTCTCTCTCTCTCTCTCTCTCTCTCTCTCTCTCTCTCTCTCTCTCTCTCTCTCTCTCTCTCTCTCTCTCTCTATATATATATATATATATATATATATATGTGTGTGTGTGTGTGTGTGTGTGCGTGTGTGATATATATATATGTATTTCCCCCCCCCCTCTCTCTCTCTCTCTCTCTCTCTCTCTCTCTCTCTCTCTCTCTCTCTCTCTCTCTCTCTCTCTCTCTGTCTCTGTCTCTCTCTTGCTCTCCGTAAGCGTATTTTGTCAGACTTTATGGGAGATAGCTCAAATCCCATTAAAACTGTTTAAGGATTATGTTTAAATAAAAAAAAACAGTGGATCAGTATGTCTAAAACACTGATTAAGCAGTAGCAATTTGGTGTTTTAGAGTAACAAGATTGAAAGAATTGTACTTTGAATATGCGATTGTTATATAGCTTGTTCATACATACATATATATAATATCATGCTTGAGAAAGTGAGATATATTTTGTTGTAAAATCAACGTGATTTAGGTATCTGAAGAGTTATTTGACGGAGTCAAAGTGAGGCTGTTTGTACCACGTGACACAAGTATGAAGGACCCTCTACCGGCAGTGATATTTTTTCACGGTGGGGGCTGGATAATAGGATCTGTAGGTCAGTATTAAATCTCTAATTTTTGTTGAAGTATAATTGTACCGATATGTATCGTTTGTAGACAATGGGAAAGGGGGATAACTCAGTCGGTCAGAGTGTTAACTTGCGTAACGTGATGTGAAGATCCGAAGTGCATGGTTGGACGCTCTCAATTCGTGGCAGTCTGTTTTTCGGGAATCTGAGAGACGAACCGGTCAGAGCTGATGTAGTTGTTCCCTTAAGCAAGACACTCTACCCTTCTTGTTCTGAATGTATACCCAACAACTTCAAACCCTAATTGTTGTAACAATTTCAGTTCTGTTTCACCATATGAATGAACCGCTTGTCCCATGTCGGTCCCTGCACACGGCGGAGAAGCCCTGCTGATTTCTCTAACCTGGTTTTTCTTCACTTCCTCCTCTAGTTTTCTTTTCATCTTCATACTTTGTCATCTTTATGTGTACTGTAGAAAATTTTGGTTGTTTATCATATTTTGCTTGTTTCCAATGTTTTCCTTTGTATCTAGTGAGTACAAAGTGACAAGAATGGATCTAACTTTATCCTCTTCATGAACTTCCCGTCTTTTTTCAAGTCCTGGTCTTATCACCTTTTGACGTTCTCATTGCCTACCGATGTTACTCAAAATGTCGTTAACAGGTCACTTATTTCTTCTTTATCGGATTTCAACCGATCTTGTCCATTCTATTGTTGCTGATCCATGATTCCAATAATAATTGAATTGAAGAAACTGATGTTCGAATTTTGACCTGATCAACTTACATACAGTTTTTATTTTGTATTTAAAACATTTACCTGATCACCTTGAATACATTTTTTCATTTTGTATTTAAAAACATTTATATCATTTCGACAATTATACAAGTCTATTTAAGGAAATCTTCATTTCAGCCCAGTATGACTCATTCACACGAATGATATCCAGGACAACTCCCATCATGGTAGTGTCTGTTGAGTGAGTATTTACAGATATATAGACAGATTTGTGTTTGTGTTTCACAAACGATTATCTTGAAGTGTCTCTCACAAGTCAGAGCTTGTATCATTTTAGATCCATGAAATGTTAAACCGATAAAATGACAATTGATAACTGATATATTTATGTTTCTAACTTATCATGCTATGTATGTATTCAGTTGGTTAGTACAGTGTGCAAATGCAATTAATGTGATTCTCTTTTACCATATCAAGTATAGGGAAACCTATTGATGGTCTGACAGCAATGGTTAAATAGGTACTTTTATTGTTGTAGATACAGATTAGCCCCAGAATATACATTTCCTATACCATTCCAAGACTGTCTGACAGCGACCAAATATTTCATGAAAAACGCCAAGATGTACGGGGTAGATGCCAACCGGATAGCGTTGTCAGGTATAATTATTCGTGTCATGTCTTGAGAACCTCCAAATTAATTGGTTCATATTTACCCCATAGTAGCATACCATCATGTTCTACATCTGATGAAGGTGTTGTTAAATGTAGGTCAAGGTAAAAGATCAAAGGTCACATTCAACAACTTCTATAAACCCAGCAAAATGATACTTATGCACATAGGAACGGGTACATTGATATATGATAATAATTTACACGTGATTAATTGTTTATCAATTATTAACAACAAAAACAAAATCACATTAGGCATTCTAATAAAGCATGTTATGAATTATTTTGTGGTAAGTTTTGATATATAAATTACTATATGTAGGTCTTCGTTTTCATTAATACCTTACTATAATTCGATGGGTATCTTTGTATATAATGACAGACTTTGGAGTGCAGAAGCGTTTTGATTTGTATTAAATGTTAGGAAAAGGAGATGAAAAAACAATAGCCATTCCAATCTTCTGATCGGTCACACAGATAAAACCACAAGTCTCAGTAATCTCAGAGGATTAGAGACACGGATTTGTACTTATGTACATGTACATATATTTACAAGAATTTTGATGTTTTTAAGACTGAAGACATTTTCTGATTTATTTAGATGTATATTACAGTTATTTACAACATTAATCCAGTCCCTAATATTAGCTGCATTTACTTTAGCTTTTCATTTCAGTCCTACGTTGCCTTGATATCGTGTTTAAGTCAGTATACCGGCATTTTAATCATGACTTACAGAAGTGTTTAGACTATAATTACTGTCTGTACAAATGATGATAACTTCTCATTTTATAAATTAGATTTAACGTCAGAAAATGTGGGCAAGTCATATTCTTTCATGGTCTGGTGAGCAGCAGAGTTAAATTAATCATCATCAGATATATATGGTACAATGGAGTTTTTAACATGTACACATAATTGTATGTAGTCAACATACCTTTACAAAGACACGGAATAAGTAGCCGGTGTTACCAGTGATTATTTAGGCAATCTTGTGAAACACCATACAGCCAGCCTCCAAAACGAACTTTGTTAGGTCCTTAAACAGGGTTGTCATTTGATGTCTAAGTTCAGCTTCGGTGAGTTTGTGAAACAAAGATTCTACTTGGGTTTCCTGTGTTTCAATTTGTCCTTCCTCGCACTAAAGCAGAAAACATTTCGAGATAAAAAAGGGGGGATGTCCTTGAGTAAACTGAAATGATAATGCTGGTCCCCAGATAAACTAAAACCGATAACAGTTGTCCTACACAGGTGTATGTGTCTGCTGAAATGATAACAGTAATCTCACTATGGTTTTCATAAAGAAGAAAATAGTATAAAATTAATTTGTGTTATAATATATGCTGACATGTCAAATTGAAGGAGACAGTGCAGGAGGAAACATGGCGATGGCTGTCGGAATCAAACTAACTCAGGAACGGCAACCCCCTCGACTTCTCGGACTGATCTACCCGGCTCTGCAGATAGCGGATTTTAAAACTCCGTCATATAAGACATATACATCTTCACCATTTCTATTGCAGACAGATAGAATGATTCAATTTTACTTACGGTACATTTTTGGAAATGACAGTTACTTGGATCAGTTCTTAGAAAATCAACATATAACTGCGGAAATGCGGAATGGTGTCACATCTAAAGTAAGTGTAGAACTTTTGCCGGAAAAATATCACAAGTTACAGACCCGACCAGAAGATCTCAAACCTGCTGATAAAAGTTTGGCGGAAAAAGTTGGCAAATTCTTTACAAATGTCTACCTGTGTCCTTTAATGCTGGACGATGAAATGTTGTCACAGTTACCGAAAACGTACCTGTTGACCTGCGAATATGATCCACTGAGGGACGACGGCTTGATGTTAGCCAAGCGTTGGAAAAACCTGGGGTTTCCGGTAAAACACGTGCACTGGGAAGGAGTTCAGCACGGATTTATGCCCCTTGTTAAAATGAACCGATCGAGAGAAGCAGTAGCAGATTTCATCAGTTATCTGAGGGCAGAACTTTAGAAAACAGGTTATCGGAGAGATAAAATAAAGAATAAGTTGATTATCTCAGGGCAGAACTCTAAAAGAGAGATAAAGAAATGTAGAATGTATTGATTATCACAGAGCAAATGTATATTGATTATTTAAGAGAAACTGTGAAAAACGTTGACTATCTGAGGAAAATGTAAAATATATTGATTATCTGATCATTATATAGAATGTGTTGATTATCCCAGAAAAAAAACTGTAGATATCGGGGAAAATTGTAGAATATATTGATTATTTCAAAGAAAAAAGTGTGACGCCATGTATTTTCATCGAGGTTGCAGGTAGTAGACAAAGGTGTTGGATTTTAAGTCGCCGAGGTTAACTGTAACCTAAAAGTCAGGTTTTAATACATTTGAATAGTGGCTTGACGGTATTCTAAAATAATCAGATATATGAAAATTACGAAATCCTGGGGTTAGTGCCCCTTCCTATTTGAATTTTGATATCTCTTTCGATCTCTGGATTTTCCCCAGTCGTCTCTTAGACTTCAAAAATAGAAATACTTAGGAGTCTTAGAAGTGACGAAACAGTTATAAGGTACAGTTTACTTCATTGTTTTGTTCTACTGTAATTTGTATTAAACGGTCCGATTCGCATGTGTGTCTTTTGTATAATCTTGATTGTCTGGAAAAATGTAGAATATGTTGATTATCTGAGAAAACATGTAGAGAAAATTGAAGAAAGCATTGCTTATATGAGAACAGATATATGATATGTGATATGTTGATTATCTGAAAACAAAACTAAATTATCGGTGATAAAAAAATGTAAGATATGTGGATTATCTGAAATTAAAACTAAATTATCAGTGAGAAAAAATGTAATACATGTTGATTATCAAAGAGAAAAATGAAGGATATGTTGCCTGAGTGGAAGTGAAGAATATATAAAATTATTATTATTGTATATATATATGATGTATCATTAATGTAGTAAAGATTGATAATTCCATTAAAAAAAGTAAGAATAGAATACAGTTTCTCTGTGAAGAACAGGTAACCCATTGAATCCTACTCAGGAGAGAACGGTAAGCATAGAAGGTTAACGTTACTGTAGTATAGATCGATTTTTTACCGTCATACTCAGGTATGGTATATTAATGGTCTCAGGAGAGAATTGACAATCACAGAACAAAGCTTCACAAACTATATTATTATATAAAAGCAGAGATGAGAAGTTATTGAGTACCGTTGAGTATAACATGAAATGGGCTTGCTGTGACAGAGAAAAACAAACTGTATGATATATTGGTAATGGAGAACAAATGTACAAAATACTTGTTGTAAAAAACATAAACAGAAATATATTAATAACGAGTTAATTGTAGACAAGTAAATTATCTCAGAGAGACGGTAGCATGCTTTAATTAGGAATACATTAACTAAGACCACAACTTTATAATTTGTTCTCAACGCGGTAGAGCTTTAGATGATATTGATCTCAGAGAGGAATTGGAAATGATTTTGTTACATTGGAATAAACAGGGTATACACTGGTAGTTTCTGGGTAGAGCTGGAGAAGATACTGTTGATAAGCTGTAGAACTGGAGATGATACTGTTGATAAAGTTGTAGAACTGGAGACGATGCAGTTGATAAAGTTGTAGAACTGGAGAATTGTTCATTGTTTACATTATTTTTATTGAAAATGTATTTTGATATAATTATTATATCTTGATATAAATTTTTATAATATTTTTTTTTATAAAAGGCAGTTTTCGTCGAAATGTATTCGTCAAAGGTCAATATGTTGATTCTTTCAGAATAGGTATTTTATATAGATAATCTAAATAATTTACCAGTATTAGATACGTGAAATTAATATGTTAGTTGTGTCCAAATAGGCTTTTATTATATACAGTTTTTAAATTACGATGTAACATTTTTAATGTACTCAGAATTTCTTTTTGAATATATTGTTTCATAGAAAATCATACAAAAATTCATATAGTTTTACTTTATTGTTTAACTTTATGCTTTAATATTAAAACCTTTTCTATTCATGAGTTGTGTCTTGTTGTGTCTTATTAACATGGTGTAGTATATGAAGTCTTATGGATCAATGATAGACTAACGATATTATTCAGTTTAATAGATTATTCTTCTTCCTATAATTTAACTATTCTATTTTCGATATAATTTGTTATGTTTTTTTTTCATTATATATAGTCTATACGCCCTCCTTCTATATATACAGTCTATACGTCCTCCCTTCTACAGCTTATATAAAGTGTTAGTGAAATTAAATTTTTCGTCATTCAATGGCTCAAGCATACATCGATCAAATCGATCTGTTCCTCGACTGAACATATCTCAGGAAGTCATCGTCAAAAAAGTGAAAGGTGAGATCAAAATTTGTTTAAAAGAAGGGAGAAAGGCTGTCTGTTTATCTGGAGACCTTTTCCAAGATATTTTAAATATTCGTTCGTTAAAGGTTGGGATGTCCTTTGAACTCACTACAGACAGTATTTGTGCTGCAGTACCTACACATCAGTCTATGAGCAAGTGTAGCGATCGTTTAGATAGTTTTAAACACTGGCCGCGACAAGTCTGACACCACATCTTCTTGTCCGTAACGGATTCTTTTATTCTGAAAGAGCTGACAAGGTGACCTGTTTTTCTTGTGGAGTTACAGTAAAGCATTGAGATTATTTCGACCTTGTTGAAGCTGAGCATAGAAAATGGTAAAAAAAATTGTCATTATTTACAGATAATTTTATCAAGTACATCATCAACAGAATGTTATTATTTGTTAAACAGTAAAAGTGCAACTGTTGAAGTGAGTCGATACTTGATTATCTTATGCTATATGAAAACTATGGAATGCAAAATCTTAGGGAAAAGAATACAAGTCGACTTACAGGAACGTATAAAAGAAAAGGCGTACAGGAAATTAGTGAAAACTTTTGCCTAGCTTATGCTTACATGACAAACTTGAAAATTTCTGAACACTTTGTGTGTGGTGGATGTGAAGAAGGTCAAGATAATCAGCTTGGACATAGCTGTGTTTTGTTAACAGCAGAAGATAAGACTGAGTTATATTTTAAGGAAGCACTGCAAAGTGTTGAGCATAGGGAAGCTGAACGGTTGTGGCTGTAATTAATAGCACAGTCAAATATACCTCTCATAATGTTAAACAATATCATAGAAAACGAGATATTCCATAAAGAAGACTATATCAAAGGGACGTTTGATTGTAAAATCAAAAGATATGTTAATAAGATAGACAACACACGGCTTAAGTTGATTACAGAATGGTAATACTTTTACACAAACAGGAAACTTATTTTCATATCCCAAATATGTGTTTTACAAAGCCGGAATAAAGTGTGTTATTTAATTTACGATTTCGTCAGTGAAATAGGTATGAAAATAACGATATATACTCTATAGTAAGACATTTTATAATCATTTTGAGTGATATTATTTTGCTTAACTTGTAGATAGTCAACGTTATAATCGGCATATGACAAATTACACAGACCGTTTGATAACATTTTCTCAGTTGAACACTAAACTGCGTCAGATTCCTTATCATTTAGCTGGTGATGGATTTTTTTTTATGAAAGCATCAATGATTATATTACCTGTTTCAAGTGTGGAAAAAGTTTAAAATATTGGATGCATAAAAACTTCTTTGTGCAGTGTCCTGACGATCATATGGTATGACCTCACCATCCAGATTCTATGAAAAATAGGACAGAGAGTGAATACTAAAACCGTGCTTGTTATAGATATGACTTCTTTATATAGTATATACAATCGTCTTAATTTCGTATATGCGCAACACATATACGTTATTGTTAAAAAGCATCAGTGTGTTATAAAGGATGCCTTTTAACAAATAGACGACATAATAGTGATTTGTGATTTTTTTTGATTTCACTTAAAAAGCAAAAAGAACCACTTATACTTTCATCAACGGAAGAGCTGCTCAAGTTATTAACAGAACTTGTTTTAATGTTGTGCAGGATAATATACCCACGATGGACAGTGATAAAAAACTACTGTCTAAATATAAGATCGGTATTCGTTTAGTTTTAGCCAAAGGAATAAATCGTCAACAAAGAAGGAAAAGATTTTTAATACTCATCGCTGTATCGGATGTATTTATAAGAAATTACTTACAATGGCACGAGAATTAGTACTGATCCCTAAACTTAAATATGAGGAAATACTTAAAAAATCGGACAAAGATCAATCAAAAAGTAGTAATTGATGCATTAGTCCGTCAAAATGACAACAAAAAAGAAAATGTGGGAGAGAACGCAGATAAAGGACAGACAGGAGGACAGTTATATATAGAAACCACACCTACAAACTTTATACATAACACATATAAGAAGCAAACGAAGCGTATGTGGTTGTCATTCAAGACATAAGTTACGCCTCCTAACCATAAAAGCGCATGTGGTTGTCATTCAAGACATAAGTTACGCCTCCTAACCATAAAACCGCATGTGTGTTCATCTTTATCCTACAACAGGCAGAATTACTCACCATGGCAGACGGATTTCTTACTAGTCTTCTAAAGAAATATAGTGAAGATGACGAAGAAGCAAGATAAACGTTAAAAGATCTAAAAACGAAATTAGATAGCTTGAATGTGTCTCCTAAAAAGAAGCCAAAACTTGTGGAAGAATTGCAAAAGAAAATACAAAACCAGAGAAAACATTTGACTGTGAAGTGTGTAATAGACGTTTTCATAGGAAGCACAGAATGCAAAGACATCTAAAAACTCATTTTATCCGAATACCGTGTAAGTTGTGTGATAAAACGTTTACAAGAGAGGATAATCTGAAAAAAACCTGTGTTACGCTATCATAAAGCAGGAAAACAAAGCATACCATGTAACAAAAAGGTGGAAGTTCCAGGTTTATCTCGGGTACAATCACCACAATCACACGAATCCTCGATTCCTAGTCCGCCTTGTGTACAGTCTCCAACAATACGTGATTCCTCAGATCTCAACCGT